AGAGAGAGAGAGCTGGGATTGACATGTGAAACAAGCTTGTTTGTAACTTAAATTTTTAAAAAAAAAGAGGAAAAAATTAAAAATTAAAAAGTATACTATTTAAAGGAAACAATGAAAACATATTCTGAGGGAAAGAAAGTAATCAACACAAAATGGAGAAAGTACCTGTTAGTATTAGCATAAAACGTTAGTTTGTTGTTGTTGTTTTGGTTTTGCCAGACATGATTTCTCTATGTAGCTTTGGAGCCTGTCCTGGAACTTACTCTGTAGACCAGGCTGGCCTCGAATTCACAGAGATCAGCCTGCCTGGCATAAAAAGTTAGTTTGACTGAGACTAGTATGCTATGCTTTTGCTTCAGGGCTTTCTCAGATAAACTACAGTCATTCAAAAAAGCTGTTAATATAAAAGAACTCAGTTTTAACTTTCTTCCAAATCCACGACTCCCCTATCCTGTCACAGGCATGCCTAAATGACTACATTTTTTTTTATTTGCTTTATTTTATTCTTCATTTGAAAGAGTCTCACCGTGTAACCCACTAGAACTCATGATGGTCTTGCTTCAGTCTCTTAAGTACTGAGATAACAGGCCCAAGGCATCACTCTCAGATAGACATACATCTCTTATTTCACTAAAGCTGAGCAGAAATATAAGAAATAAACAAGCAAAACAAAAAACAAACCATGGTTCGTTTAACATGTTTCCAAATGATTAGTTAGAAAAGAAATTTTTGCAATTTGAATATCAAATGAATCTGACCAGTTTATTATTGCAAAGACAGCTTCCCAGTAATCATTTTTTCACAATGTAAAGGCTGTTATTAAAGACAATTTTTATCCAAAGTATAGGAGATGCTAGCTAGAGGCCTGTAACCTTTAAAACAAGGTCCACCAAAGCAACACACACATGTATAGTTTCCTTCAGTTTTATGTAATTTCTTACCCATCACCAGCTCTGATTCCTGCTCTCAAGGTCACTGCTAGTGGCTGGGATTTGATGCTTTCTATGGTTCCTCTAGTTTTGGAACTCAGCCTATTCTTAGAACCACAGCAGCTTTAATTACCCTCCTGTCTTGACTCAACACCTCTGCTCACACACTTTCTTGAAGCCCTTTTCTTCTTCTTGACTTAGCTATTTCTCTGTTAGTCCATCCCATTTCTTTGTTAAGTCTGTTCAATTCATTTGTTTCCTAAGCTTACATTTTATACATTTCATTTTCTTTTTCAAATTTGAAAATCACTTAGTCTTATTTTTAGGTGCTCTTCTGTTTGAAGAAAGCAGAAAAACAAACAAAAGCAAGGAGAATAGCCCAAAGTTTAGTACAGTGATTCTCACAGCCTGGGGCTCTGTCAGCCCATACCAACTGAATCAAAACTTCAAGCCTGGAACTCTATCCTTCTCCTCTCTCCTCTCTCCTCTCTCTCATCTCTCTCTCTCTCTCTCTCTCTCTCTCTGTCTCTCTCTGTCTCTCTCTCTCTCTTTCCTTTTCTTTTTTCGTTTTTTTGGTTTGTTTGTTTCTGGTTTTTGGAGACAGGGTTTTTCTGTGTAGTTCTGGATGTCCTGGAGTTCACTATGTAGACTGACTATGCAGAGTGGCCTGGAACTCTTAGAGATCTACCTGCTTCCACTTCCCAAGTGCTGAGATTAAAGGTATGTGCCACTACTGCCCAGCCTAGAACTCTTATCTTTTAATAAATCATCTGGATGATTTTTATGAACAATAAAATTTAAGCACCGCTGATGCAGAAGAAAGTATCTGACATGCTTTGAATAAAATAAATGTACTGTTTTCCCTTTTTATTACTGTGATAGGCTTACATCTGCACATCGCAGTCAATCAGGGAAGCTAGGGCAGGAACTCAAGCAAGAGTGTGAAGTCATGATCATGGAGGACTGCTACTTGTTGTCTCCCTCACAGGTTCATGCTTAGATAGCCTTCTTACACAGGACCACCTGCCTAGGTCAGGTTGTACCCACAAGTGGGTTGGGCCTTCCAGCATTAATTACTAATCAAGACAATCCCTCACAGACAGGCTCACAGGCCAATTCCATCCAGGCAATTCCCTAATGGAGACTTTACTCTCGGGTGTCACCAGGTTATGTCAAGTTGACATTTAAAGCTAACTAGGACCTGAATCTTATTACTAGGAATAACTAATATTCTATTTATCAACACAGAAGAACATCTAGAATATTCTGCATAATAAAAAAGCACCACAGGGAGGTGGTAGCACATGCCTTTAATCCCGGTGCTTGGAAGGCAGAGGCAGGTGGATCTCTTGAGAGTTTGAGGCCAGCCTGGTCTACTGAGCGAGATCAAAGACAGCCTCAAAAGCTACAGAGAAACCCTGTCTCAAAAATCCAAAACAAACAAACAAAAAAAACAGGCACAATATAATTTTTGCAAAAAAAATTAAAATCCCAGAAATATCTACAAGTTTATATACCAACTTATCATAGTTGTAATTAATTTGAGGGGAATTCACTCTAACTTTCCTTTATGAATAGAAAACAGAATTAATATTGATTGGCATCTTCCATTGCCCTTTAGCAAAACACAATGAACTCAGGGACTGGGAGAGATAGATGGCTCAACTATTAAGAGCAGTGGCTGCTCTTCCAGAGGACCTGAGTTTGATTCCCAGCACCCACATGGCTGCTCACAAACCATCTGTATCCCCAGTACCTCCATGAGTACAACATGCATGGAGTTCACAGACATACATGCTGACAGAGCCATAGATAGATAGACAGATACAGACAGACAGACAGACAGACAGACAGACAGACAGACAGACAGACGATAGATAGTTTTTGGGAGCAAGTTACCAGAAGACTTCATTGTCTGAACAACCAATCTTTGGGATGCTTTAGGGGTTCTAGAGGAAGTGAGGCAGAGATAGTGTTCAGTCCCTATGATTCAATCAGTGTCTTCATGTAAAGCAACTCTGTCCCAAAATGACAGGTCATAAAACCTGAGCTAGCTTGCCCTTCTTAAATAGGTCAATCCAAAAAGGGAATGGTCTGATACTGCAGGATAACAGGACAGAAAGAAACTTAAGGGCACTTCTGGAAGATAGCTGATTTCTGAGAACACTTTTTACAAAAAGTTTGTATTAAAAATGTCCTGTTTTTCTTCTTTCTTCTTGATCTGGCAGTCACTCCACAATTACATTCACACACTCCCTCTCAAGCCAGCTTCATGTACACTCAAGCAAATTTATGCAGTAGACTAAAAGGGGGCTTGAAGGAAAAAGGGTAAACAGTGTATGCTCCCACACCTAAAATCAAATCAGATTCTTATAACCATCTTTTAGCTTACATTAGGATAGTGGTTTTCAACCTTCCTAATGCTGTGACCCTTTAATATATATAATATTATAATTCATGTTGTGGTGAACCCCAACCATAAAATTATTTTCATTGCTCCTTCACAACTGTAATTTTACTATTATGAATCATAATGTAAATATCTGATACGCAGGGTATCTGATATATGACCTCTGTGACAGGGTCACTTGATCCCCCCCCCAAGAGGCTAACCCACAACCAGGAGGTTGTCTGGTCTGGTGGTGGTGGCACACGCCTTTAGTCCCAGCACATGGGAGGCAGAGACAGGCAGATCTCTGTGAGTTCGAGGCCAGCTTGGTCTACAGAGTGAGTGCCAGGAAGGTTCCAAGGCTACACAGAGAAACCCTGTCTCAAAAAAGCAAAAAAAAGAAGTTACACAACCTTTTTTCTATCTAGATGCTCACTACCACTAGAACTAGCCTGTTCAAAAAGAGAGGAGATACTATTAATGTCAATATTTTCACTGTCATATAAAAGGCTGCAGTTACCTTTTAGAAAGTCCATTGCTGCCAATGGCTCTGCTTTACTGTGGTGCTTCAGCTTAAAAAACATGATTACAAAGCACAAAGATGAGACCTGAAGCTTAGTTTCCAGTGAAAATTGAAAACAAGAGTAAGGGTACCAGACTCATTGGACTCTCATCTCTACAATATCTTAGATTTGGATCAATAACTCTACTTCCTTATGCCTTACTGTCCTTAAAGTAAACTGGGATAGGGAACTACTTCAAATGAGGTTTGTAATATCAAAAATATAGAAATGGAGGGAGAATGAGGTGCTGTGTTTCACAGAGACAGAGTTTTAGTTTTTGACAATGAAAATATACCATTGGTGGACAGTGACAATGACTGCATAGCACTCTAAATGAACTTAGTGAAATACACATTTTAAATGGTTAAAACTCTGTTATATATTTTAGATCCCCAGTGTAGGACCTGGCTCTCAGGTACTCCTATTTGATAAAGAATTTTTAGGAAAAAAAGAAAAAGGAGAAACATAAAAATAAAAGCATGTTCCTTTCCCTACTTATCTGTGAGAGGCTCTGAGTTTCCAGCAGAGCCATCTAGTTCCAAAACTGGGTAAGTGTCTCAGTTAGGAGATGGGACTCTATTTGTCACAATCCCTCCTATACATTCAGCTCCCAGACCAATACCTCCACCTAGTTTGACATCTCCAAGAATATCAATTCTCCAGCTCCCAAAATCTTGCAAAGAAGCTGGGATGCCCAAATCATTTCCTCTACCAGATCTAGGTAATGAGGACAAGGGCATGCTCAGGGGAAACTGCCTCCTGTAAGCAGAGATTGGCAAGGCATATTAGTACTGGGACCAACTGGCTAGGTGTCCAGGGACCAGAATTATGCTGATCTAAGGGACACAGAGGACAGAAGTCTCAAAGGTCTAGTAAGATTAAAAATGCACTTCTCTGCAGTTCAGAAAAAACAATTAATGATTATGTGTTATAAGTCATAAAACAGAGAAGGGGAAATAGATGACTTTTCTCCAGGCATATGAGAACATTATTTTTGATGGTGAGGCTTAATTGGATCAAAACAAAAAGTGAAGACAGATGATCACTAACATTCCCTGTACTCAGATCAAGGAGAACAAATGGATAGCAACACCCAGTTAATTCCAAAACAATACTTACTTTAGGGTCCGAGCTCTTGAACTTTAACCTTTCCACCAACTCTATCATAGCTGCCTTCAGTCCACCCGAATCTTTGCTCTACAAGAAAAAAGTTAAGAGTCACTAGATAGCATATCATTGTTCTCTCAAACACAAACAGTATTTCAGAGGACAGAAAGGACAGTGAAACAGAAAACAAACTTGTCATCTCATCAGACAAGAGGACTAAACAACTAAGGAAGGTGTGCTTTTCCTTCTCCATCCATGAACAATGAGTGAGCATTAAAACAATAGACTGGAATGAAAATTAATGACAATCATGGTTGGGTGTAGTAGCACTTCCCCTTAGTCCCAGCACTCAGGAGGAAGAGACAGGAGCATCTCTGTGAGTTTGAAACCAGCCTAGTCTACATAGTGAGTTCCAAGCCAGCCAGACTGAAAAGGGGAGAAAGGAAGGAGAGAGGGAGGGGGAGAGAGGAGGAAGGAAAGAGGTAGGGCACAATTTAATAAACACAATTTGCACAGGATGACTTCACTGCCTCATCTCAGACTCAATTGTGCCTGCATTCAAGACCCTGCAAAAGTCTTATAGACTACTAATTTTTATTTTGAAGATTTATGTATCAGACACAGAAGTACACAATATTATACATACCTACAAAAATAAAACATCCCAGGCTTAAATTCAAATGGAATTACTATATGCTAGTTAAGAACAGTTTTGAGTCAGACACATGGTTTTAAAGTTGTTCGACACCAATTAGTTGACTAACATAGGACAAATTGAATTTCTCAAAGTCATATCTCTTGACTACAAAATGGAGTAATATGAGGCTTAACTGGAATGCTTGCAGAAGTATTAGCAGAGTGTACATCACACAGAAAGCGTTCAAAAATGACACCTGCTTGTTATTACTTAGAGTAGTACAATCTAACAAAAGTGTAATGTGAGCCCCCACAAAGGCGAGTTTTAGAGTAGCTATAATAGGAAAGTAAGACCATTTTTAATACATTTTACTTAATTCAGTATGTCTACTATATCAGCAACATATAATTTTTATATTTTATTTTTTTGTTTTTGTTTTTTCAAGACAGGGTTTCTCTGTGCAGCTTTGGAGCCTGTCCTGGAACTTATTCTGTAGATCAGACTGGCCTCAAACTCACAGAGATCCACCTGTCTCTGCCTCCCAAGTGCTGGAATTAAAGGCGTGTACAACCAACACCCAGCTATCAGCAATATATAATTTTAATATGAGGTTTTACCTATTATAGCCTCTGACCTTTGTCTGCTCTGGCCTATTTCTTCTCTTGGGAATCATTTCTTTCCTAATAAATTACCTCTTCTACCACACATACACACACACACACACACACACACACACAGAGAGAGAGAGAGAGAGAGAGAGAGAGAGAGAGAGAGAGAGAGAGAGAGAGAGAGAGAGAGAGAGAGAGAGAGAGAGAGAGAGAGAGAGAGAGAGGCATGCACGCAAACACTGGGGTCAGGGATGGGGGGAAAGGAGAGGAAGAGTGAGAGGAAGAAGGGAAGGAGGGAGGGAGGAAAGGAAGGAGAGAGGCGGGGGAAGAGAGAAAGACAGAGACAGAGATACAGAGAGAGGGAGAGGGAGGGAGGGATTGAAGGAGGGAGGGAGGGAGGGAGAGAGGGAGGGAGGGAGGGAGGGAGGGAGGGAGGGAGGGAGGGAGAGAGGGAGGGAGGGAGGGAGAAACTTATGCTTCCCACCCAACCCCAATTAGGTCTTTGAAATCTAATTCTTATCCACGCAGCCCAAATCAACCTGGACTGGGCACATTTCATTGTACCACTGTAGAGGTCAGCACAGAATGTAGACCCTTGCTGCTTGGTTTCAAATGCTAACTCTTATCACCAGCTGTGTGGCATTAGGGAAGTCATCTTACCTTCTGCAAATTTATTTCTTTGTCTATAAAATGAAGCTAGCCATAATAGTACATGTTGCATACAGCTGAGAGAAACAATGTTCCTGTATACCAGGATAGTTAGAAGAGGACCTAGCACTTGATAAAAACAATGAAACATGCATTTAATTATTATTTTTGTCTGTTTCTTCATATTTTGAATTCCTTAAAGGCTAGAACTATCTTTTAATGTCTGCATCTCCTACATTGTGCCTGAAGAAAGCAGGGCTTTACCAAGGCCAGAATAATGGCTCAGCAGGTAAAGACACTGTAACTCCCATGACCTGAATTAATTCCTGGAATACACACCAAGGTGGAAAGAGAGAACTGGTCCCACAAATTTGTTCTCTGACCTTCACACATGCACATACATGTATGCCTACAAATATTCTCTCTCTAAAATTTTTTAAGACAGATGAGGTTAACAACAAAGGTATAAAATGTCCACTGAATGAATAAGTCAATATAAAATCTCAAGAAACATACTCTGTTGCCATAATCCATGCATGGAGCATGATCTAAAGTCACAAGAACTAATTTATTTCCTTATCTCGGAAATTCTGTAAGATGGGACAGGACCACTTATTTTACCACTAAGGAAACAAGCATAAAGACATTATTTTATGGAAGAAGAGACTAATAAGAAGAATAAACAAATACTGCAAAAGTCACTCACTCAAAACCAGCCATGCCCAGCATCTGCTTTAGATGTGCTCTCTGAACACAAGTCAGATCACATTTGTATTCTAAATGTGGTTCTAAAGTTTAGCAATTTGTATTTTTAAGTAATGGCTTATAATTCTCCCAGTTTCTTCAGTCCTTTAAGCCTTTAATCTCAATGACCTCATACCTGACAGTTGGGAACAGGAATCTAGAGGTCACATACCAGGGAGGGTAAAAGTTTAAGTACCTAAAAAAGGGTTAAGTTGCCAGATACAATCTTGTTTTTTACAAGATTATCAGACAAAAGAGCCTTTATGATGATATTCCTCTAAATTATTCTCATTGGCTGAGCAAGCAGGTCATTCCCCCACCCCCAACAACAACAACAACAACAACAACAACACACACACACACACACACACACACACACACACACACACACACCTCTCAGCTGTCAGCACCCGTTTTAAACTATTCAGCAAGACCCCTGATGGATTATGAGCCCCCTTCCCCCCCCACCTAGAAACAGAAGGAATGCACTAAACTATGTCTTAAAAGCCTTCAGTAAACAAAGAATGAAGAAGGAATCCCTAAGCAGCAGACAGACACTTTGCAAACAGCTGTGCCTTGCTAGTTTAAAGAGATGAGGAAACCCTTTGTCTTTTCCAAAAAAATGTGTTAGGCCAGCAGAATCCTTCTTCCTGTTCACAAAGCATCACAAGCAGCAACTACCCAGGGGAGACACAGGGCAGCACCTGAGAGTCTCCCTTCAGGAAACCATAAGGTCTACCTCTCCAGCCAACTCAGAGTTATCCTCAAATATTAATTTGACTTTATATTTTGAGCCCGATATGTTCACCCTCAAAATGAGTATAATTAAAAGCTTCCCTAATACCATCACCACCACCACCCCCAAAAACGAAAAAAGGAAAAGTTTCTTTTGGGGTAATCTGTCTCTGAGAAGTTTCTGAATTGGTGCAAAACTACAAAAGGAAGATCTTGATACAAGTTTACCCCTACCCACAAGCCATGCATTCCCCACACCCTATTCCTTCCCTACACTCTAGGTAGTCTTATGCATAGATGTTCAACTGAGTATGCAAGCTCTGCAAACACCTTCTCAAAGTCTCTATGGCCACAACTTTGACCTGGGGACAAATACATAACATGGTAGAATTCAATGGCCGGATCCATCTTCATACAGACAGGCTCTACAGGCCCTGGCAGCAGGGTCAACACATTCTGTCAGAGTCATGGGAAGCAGTCTGTAAGGGGACAGGTATGGTGAAAAGAGGGAACTGTGAGGACACAGGGCAGAGGATAGGAGGTTGTTTGTGTCTAAGGATGGAATCTGAGTATAAGTCCTCCCAGTTTGTAGAGCTGTATCATGTTTCTGTTCATTGTTGAGAGCAGTCTAGACAATCAGAACTGATTTACACACACACACACACACACACACACACACACACACACACACACACACGTATGCACACACTGCTATGTCTCCTGGTGTTTCCTCTGAATACTTTGTTCTGAGAACTGGACGGACACACAAAGGCAGGTAATTCTAACCTTACAAGTATCTAGTCCCATAAAAGAACAGATTCTACTATGTCATTTTGGAGCAAGTAGCACAGCTGTGAACGAAGAAAGCTTTTCCTTTCCTCCATCATATAATGCACTTCTGCGTACCTTGCTTTATGCATGTCTTCCCTCCACCAGGAGAGTGCTGTGAGTGACACCTATAGCTCAGCATCTGATCCGCTGTTACAAGTCAGTTCCTAGGGTTAAATCACAGTAAAACTAAAGGACAAAATGCCTTCCACCTCTCAGACAAAGCTCCAAAGTACTGTCATATGCTCTGGTATTCCTCAATACCCTTAAAAGTGCTGTGTTCTCATGCTGCAGGTAAGAAAAATAGCTGGTGGAAATCAAATGAGGAACACAAATGGCTTAAACACCCCTTCACTAGCATTTCACAGGAAACAATAACCAGATATAATGTATTCACTTTGCAATGGATAAAAAGGGGTGTTGTGGAAATTAAATCAGGCTTCCCAAATCACAAACCTAATCAGTGGCAAAACCAGGAACAGAAAGATAGAAATGAAGATTTATAACATGTACAACAGAAGAGTCTAATCTCAACAATATATGAAAAATGTTTAAGAAATTTCTATAAATCAGTAAGCCCAAAAGAAATGTGAACAAAGGATATGAACAGAAAAGGTAAAACACAACAAATGCATCAGAAGACACAAAAGATGCTCAAGTTACTCATAATTAAGGTGTCATTCCTTACCCATAAGGCTGAAAAGGATGCATTAATCTGAAGTAGCCAATACTAACAGGTTTTGAGAAATTTCCTGTCACTTGATTTGGAAGTATAAAGTGGAAATGCTACTCTGAAACCATATCGACCACGTACACTCCCATCTCCCTCTTAAGGAAGGGTATATGTCACAGGGGTATGCACAAAAACATTTATGATATTTTCAATAGTG